GTACCACACCAAAAAAAAAAAAAAAATTAAACACCTTTTCATGATAAAAGCCCTTAAGAAGCTAGGAATAGAAGGAACATACTTCAACATAGCAAAAGCTACATACAACAAACCTATCGTCAACATCATACTAAGTGGGAAAAAAACTGAAATCATTTCCTCTAAAGCCAGGAATGAGATAATGGTTTCCACTCTCCTGACTCTTACTCAGTATAGTACTGGAATTCCTAGCCAGATCAATAAGGCAAGAGAAATAAATAAAAGGACTCAAATGGAGAGGGAAGAAGTCAAATTATCCCTACTTAAAATTGATATGATTCTATACTTAAAAGACCCAAAAGATTCCACCAAAATACTCCTAGATCTAATAAACACTTTCAGCAATGTAGCAGGATATAAAATTAACATACAAAAATCAGTAGCTTTTCTACATACTAACAACAAACAGGCTGAAAAAAATCAAGAAAGCAAGTCCATTCACAATATTCACAAAAAAATATCACAATAATAAACTTAACTGAGGAGGTAAAAGACCTCTACAATAAAAACTATAAAACCTTGAAGAATTGAAGAAAGGGAGGGGAGATGAAAGGAAGCAGTGGAGGGAGTAAATTCAAGTATGATACATTTGATACAATGTAAGAACATTTGTAAATGCTATAATGTACCCCCACCTAGCACAAAAAAAAAGTCAAAAAAAAGAAAGAAATTCAAGAAGACACCAGAAGATTGGAAGTCATTTCCTGTTCATCATGGGTCAGCAGAATTAATATTGTAAAAATGGCTATACTACTGAAAGCAATCTACAGAATCAATGCAATTCCCATCAAAATCCCAATATCATTCTTCACAGAAATAGAAAATCAATCCTAAAATTCATATGGAAGCATAAAAGACATCAAATTTAAACATAATCCTGAACAAAAAGAGCAATGCTCTATATATCATAATTCCTGACTTCGAATAGTATTACAGAGTCATAGCAATAAACACAGCATGACACTGGCACAAAAACAGACATGAAGATCAATAGGACAGAATAGAAGACCCAGAAATAAACCCACACAACTACAGTCATCTGATTTTTGACAAAGGAGCCAAAACATATGCTGGAGAAAAGACAGCCTCTTCAACAAATGGTGCTGGGAAAACTGGTTATCTACATAGAGAAGTCTGAAACTAGACCTCTATCTCTCATCCTGTACAACAATCAATTCAAAATACACCATAGATCTTAATGAAAGATCTGAAACTTTGAGACTATTATAGGAAAACATATTGCACATACTGGAAAATATAGGCATAGGCAATTAGTTTCTGAAGAGAACTCTAGTTGCCCAGGAAATAAGAGAAAGATTGACAAATAGCATTGCATCAAATTTAAAAGCTTCTGTAAAGAAAACAATTACTAGAATCAAGAGGCAACCCATGGAATGGGAGAAAATCTTTGCCAACTATTCAATGGATAAAGGATAAATATCCAGAATATACAAAGGATCAAAAAAAAGAACACCAAAAAAATGAGTAACACAATTAACAAATGGGTAGATGAATCGAACAGACAGTTCTCAAAAGAAGTACAAGTGGTTAATAAATACATGAAGAACTATTGAACATCCTTTGCCATAAAGGAAATGCAAATCAAAATGGTATGCAATGAAATTCCATACCACCCCAGTCAGAATGGCAATCATCAAGAAAAGAAACAACAATAAATGCTGGTGAGGATGCGAGGTAAAAGAAACCCTCATAATACTGTTAGTAGAAATGTGAACTAGAGCAAACACTATGGAAATCAGTATGGAGGGTCCTCAAAAAACTAAAAATTAGACTTACCTTATGACCCTGCTATACCACTCTTGGACATATCCAAAGGAATATAAATCAACATACGAGAGAGATACCTGCATACCCATGTTTATTGCAATATCATTCACAATAGACAAACTGTGAAATCAGCCTAGCTGCCCAACAACCAATGAATGGATAAAGGAAATGTGGCATACATACATAATAAATGAAATTATGTCAATTGCAAGAAAACAGATGGAAATGAAGATCATCATATTGCGTGAGATAAGCCAATTTCAAAAGTCAAATATCGAATGTTTTCATTCATATGAAGAATCCATACTTTAAATGATAATAATAATGAGACATGAGTTTGAAAGGTGGATGGGTGGGGGGCGGTGGGGGGGTGGAATCAGTGGCGGCAGGGGGGGGGGAGGGAGGCAGAGCAAAGGAGATCCTTATATTAAAGGTTGCAAATTGTGACAGACATAAAGATGTGCCACTCCAATCCTTCGAAAAAGGACTTGCTAGCTAGGGCATAGTGGCATGCTACTGTAATTTGAGCACTTAAGATACTGAGGCAGGAGGATCACAAATTAAAGGCCAGCTTGGGCAAAGAAAAAAGAGAAGAGAGGAGGGGAGGTGGAGGAAGAGGGAGGAAAGGAGATAGAGGGAAGGAAACTTGGTGCCTTACTTGGGGAGGAAGTAGTATGATAGCAGTGGCCTACAGCTGTCAACTCAGGCTCTGCCTTGGAGGCAGTCATGCCCTTCAGTACTGAGGAAGGCAAGGCAAGGTATAAAGCCCAGATGAGACACTCTGACCTACAGTACTGAATCCAGGGCTCCCTGTTTCATCATCCCTTTTCCACTGTCTAACTGCAACACAAACTAACCACAACAAAGTTGCCATCTCAGACCTCCTACAGCAACTGAAGCTGCAATTTTGGGTTGAGCCCCAGGTTAACAAATTGAGTTCCTTTTTAATGATGAGGCTGTATCTGCTCAGCTAATATATTACTACAATCTTATTCACAATAGTTTTCTGCCTAATATAAATTAAATTTACATACAAACACAGAGCTTGTAGTTCCCACAGCTAGCATTACCACTAAACCAGACTCTGCCACCAACTTTAGAAATTTGGACAAGTTATTTACCTCTATTCTCAATGTCTTTATCTGTAAATAAGGTCTGATCTTAGGGTTGTTCTGAAAAATAAATGAGTTAATACATCAAAAAGTATATATAACAGACCCTGGCTCATACAACGTATTCAATAAATGCTATTAATATTACTGGCCTGAGTTCTTACATTGTCTATATTTTTTTCTTATCTGTCTTATCAACCAACATTTTATAATAATTGGACAAAGCAATTATGAAACCGGAGTTGTGGACCAAAGGGCCAAACTCCTGAGATTCATATGCCAGGTCTGGTTAACCACCACTAAATGGCAAGTAAAGAGGCATGGTAAAGCAGAGAAAGGAGGTTTATTACACAGCTCAGAACATGCCATGGGAAGAGGCAGAGTAAGCACTCAGCTCATCTTCAGCCATCTTTGAGGTACAGACATGAACTACAGCTTTAAGAAGACAAAAGAACTGGGGTAAGGGGACAAAGGTATGCATAGTTAAACAGTTCAAGTCACAGGTATGTTCTGTTTGACCTTTATCTCAGTCCAAGGGTTCCCAGAGGGATTCAGGAGAAGCTGTTATCACTGTCATCACTTGAGGGGAGTGATCTGTTTCCCATGAAATGATTGCTCCTCTTCTAGGGTGCAGCCTCATTATAGGTAATTGTCCTCATTTGGAGGGGTGGTCTGTTCTGCAAGTCTCCTCTGTTTCTTATAGGAAGTTTCATTCCCTTGTCATAAAGATGTTATCAGTTCTGTCCTTTCTGAATCGAAGGTGATTGCAAAGTGACTGCAAAGAGAATGGATTAGAGCAAAGGTAGATACACAACCAAGGACAGATGCCATACTTTTCTCTTGCTATTAGTTAACTCATGTGCCCAAGAAAGGAGTTGGTGCTTTTCAGCAAAAGCAATTTGAGTGTGTCTTACAACCACAGATAAGGTCCTTATATTTCAAGAACCCTAATTATCAGACTCTTCGGATTTGAGGACCTAAATTAAATCCTCTTTAGTTAAAATAGTATTTTTTCCTATCAATTTAATGTTTTGGGTTTTCCCAAAAACATGAAAAAAATGCACGAAGATGAAAACCAAATAGATATGTGAAGATTAGATTGGGAACATCTATGTACAAAGTTTTTCTGAAATATAAAACATAAAAAGATCAGTTATCATTCCAAAATTATTCTGAAGATGGACTTGAGCACCTCTTACACAATCACAGTCCTGAAAATTATTATTTAGGGGTTAGGCTTCTTTCAACACCTTAGACATTGGATCACATGTTGAAGAAGCATGTTTAAGAAAAACAAGCTGTCCTTGCTTTTGACTCCAAGTTTGGGACTTTCTGTCGTTGGTGTAGAGCCTGAAAAACATGACTCAATTTTCAGCATTTCTACAGGACCCTACAAAGTTAAAATACTGCAAGCAATGGGCCCCAATGATTTAACACTTCCCCTCCCCAAAATGAGAATTCCAGGGCGCGTTGACAACTCCACGCGGGCGCTTCTGTGAAGCGCAGAGACTTTCGGGCTTCCCTCCCAGACCACCGCGGCCCGTCTGCGAGGCCTGGCGGAGAGACGTATGTCTCCTTCCGGGTTACTGCGGGGAAACAAGGGAAAGGGGCAGTGGCTGCGTGACCTGGCCTGGGGTGCGACTTCGGGGAACAAAGACGTCGCGAAGGCTCCGCGCGCCCTCTGAGCCGCTGCCCATCCACACCAATCACGATAGCGCGGGCAGAGCGCGCCAATAATGGAAACGCAGACTCGGGACTTTTCTCCGGTGTGACAAGATCCCTAACCCTATGTAGCAGCACCTACATAGGGTGCTCTGCATTCTGAACTGGCGCCCGGACCCGCGAAGTTTGAGAACAATCGCTTCACACCCAGATGCATGGCTATCCCCAATTCAGCGACCGCGCGCCTCAACCGAGCTTGGTCCTTTCCTTTGATCCCGCCCCGCTGCTCAGCGCGGATTGGTGACTGGAAGCATCTCTGGCGCTGATTGGGCGGCGGTGGAGTCGTTCCTAGCGACTGTAGAGTTCGGCTGCTCCAGAGTGCTAAATTTAGCTCCAGACCTGGACCGCGCCAGCAGCAAATCGGATCTCTATGGAGGTGGCATAGGCGGTGTCCCCGAGCTAACAGCATCACCCTGTTCCCGCATCCTTCTTTCCTCTGTTTTTAACTCCCTCCCCTTCCCTCCTCTCTTCCAGTCCGCGACGACTGGCTCTTGATCTCGTTCAGAACTCGGTGAAGGTGAGGAGCAGAGTCGCCACCGCGGCTAAGCGGTTCGCTCTGAAATGGCCGCTGCCTTAAGCTGTCTAAAATGGCGGTCAGAGGCTCAGCTGGGGTCCGCGGCGCTGCTGTGCAGCCCAGCCGCGGCTAAGACCGTTGTCTCTGCATGGCTGGTGGAGATGAAGTAGAAGGAAGGTGCTAAGATGACTTCAAGTCGTTAGCAGAGATGACAGCCTGGGGCGCGACCAGAGTCCGGAGGCGAGGGTGGGATGCGACAGGAAGTGAGCCCGGGACGTGGCGGTGTGCGGGCAGCGCGCACCTGTGACAGGTTGGAGCTCAGGGGTGGCTGGCGCGGGTCGCGCATGCAGGTGAGCTTGTGGAAAAGCGATTAGGGGCTGGCGGGGCTGTACCTCCTAATTACTGAGCCTTTATGCCTGGCCTGCACCCCGACCTTGCCCTCCTGCCCCTAAGGGTATGGTGCAGAGCTGGAGCCGCCCGAGGATGAAGGTGAAAGGATCGTGTTACCTGTCAGGTTAGTCCAAAGAAGAGACAGAAGATGAGTGGTTCCCCCTCATTTCCAGGGAGTGGAATGGAAACTTTTACTCCAGGGCCTGCAGATTCTTTGTCCTCCAGAGATCTGGGAGATGCCTCACAAGAGGCAGGGATAAGGCAATCCTTTGTGAAGACCAACCTTCCACTGTGCTGTGCCCGCTGACAGCAAGGCAGAGGGATCCCAATCTTTCAGTGAACCAGTGGCTCCAGAAGTGCTTTATTTTTTTCGTTAAATCCAAATCGAGACTGCAAGGAGAATCTACTGCTCTTTTACCCCCAGTCAGAAACAGGTTTTTGTGTTGCTGCCAGTTTGAAGTTGTTGACTTCCTGACATGGTAACCCATTGTTAAAGCATTTGTCTGCACAGCCCAACTACTACTATCAGATTTTTTTCCATTCTGGGGGGAAATAAAAAGAATGTTCAGGAACACACAAGTAATGGCTAGACACGTGGACTGTGCAGTCAACGTTTTGGGGCTCTGTTCTTGGTTCCTCACAAGATATGTTAACTTAGTAGGTGACTTCACTTCTTTTCGTCTGTTTCTAAAGTGAAGTTATTTCTAATCCCTGGCTCTTATTTAAGGATTAGGTGAGTTGATGTATATGAGGAATTGAGCACAGTTACTGGTACAGAGTAAACAGTGATTACTCAATCACTGCCATAAGAGATTGGTTATTGAGAGAATAAAACTGTTCTCTGAAGGCATACTTCATGTAACATTTTCATGTATAATTCCATTTAGACTTAATGCTTGATATTAGAGACATGAAGATGGGGCTGTACTTTTTTAAATTAGGCTTAGAATTTGAAAGTGTTTCTGTGAAGGCAGGGGACAAGGAAGCATTTCAAAGGGGTGAAATTACCAAAATTTTAAGCAGGATGAAAATACTCTAGATGTTAGGCAGCTTGTGTTTTAGTCCAAGAGCTGCATTGCAGTGAAAAGTCATTTGCACTGCTTAGGTCTAAAATAAATTATAATGCCTGGTTGTTTTAGAGGTTGTAGTTAGTTCTGTTGTTGCAGTGTCTAATTTTAATTTTTCTTATTCTAGGCTTTTGGTTACTTCCCTTCCTACCCCATCCCTTAATTTTAGTCTTTTGGAGAGTCTACATTTCAAGATGCTAAGGTGGAAAGTGTGAATGCAGAAGGGAATACTCCCCATTTCAGGTATTCTACTCTAGTTACTAATAGAAAAACCATTTGATTCAGGACCTAACAATGAGAATATGAAACTGATTCTGTAACCAGATTATGAAGTTTAAATCAAAAGTAGCAATATTTGTATAGGCACAATTTGTATGCCTTAACTTACAAAATTTAATTTAAATCATAACTTAAATAAATAGTATGCATTGGAGTTTAAGTTTGCATTATTCTTTTAATTGTGCTTTTTACTACATGAGGGGGAAAAACCTATTAAAGTGAGAGTTTATATTTTCTTTAGGTCCTGGTTAAATTTTCACCTATAACATAATGGAATGCAGAGTAATCACTAAAAATATATATTACGTGAGTCTTAATTTGAGTTAGTAAATGTGTGTGTAATTTTTAAGTCCAAGGAAATAGTATGTAAACTTTGATCTGTAGTTCATCCTTCATTGTTAACACATAATACTTAGTACATCTAATGGCAGTAGTCATCAGTAAGCTAAAATAAATTTCATATACTATGCACCATGAGATGGGGTTGATAAGTTAATGGCCCATGCAGTCTGTTTTGGTACATACAGTTTTATTTTTCCATACCTTTCCTTTTACCTCTAGTTTATGGCTGCTGTCGTACTACAACTAGAGTTTAGTAGTTGCAACAGAGACCATATGGCTCACAAAGACAAAAATTTTACTTTCAACCCCTACCATGGACCATATTCCTAAAGATCCCTTCATTAGAAATATGCTTATCAAGTCTTCATTTTTCTTAGCCCAATGGTTCCCAGATTTTTTTACATACAATATTCTTGAACTTAGTGTTTTGAGAAAAGGATTGATGTGACAAGTTTTTTTAGCTTATTTTTGTATAAGTTTATTTAAATATAAATCTAAGACTACTAAACTCATTTCTATAGCTTTTATTTTTATGTGATAATCTACCTTTAAGAAAGGTGTGCCATGCCTGAGAGCACCAGGAAGTCGCATGAGAGATCACCTGATAAGCGAGCGTGTGATGTTCCATCTTCGCATTGATGCATAGGCAGCACTTACAAATTAACTGATGTGGTACTATTTATCATCTCTCGTCTTACAGTTTCAACGTATTTGTGATACTCAATGTTTATTCTAAATTAACCATGTTTTGTACCACAAACTCGTTGCCCATGGATCTTTTGCTAAAACAAGGAAGTCTTAAGCAAGAAGTAGAATCTTTTTGTTACCAAATTGTATCTGAATCAAATAATCAAAAGGTTGGAATATTACAAAATGAAGATGAACAGTTGCAACCTTCAGTTTCTAAAAAATCAGAAGGTGAGCTTTCCAGGGTCAAATTTATGTCCAATTCCAACAAAATAACATTTAGTAAGAAACCAAAAAGGAGAAAATATGATGAAAGTTACTTGTCTTTGGGATTTACTTACTTTGGAAACAGAGATGCACCTCATGCTCAGTGTGTATTATGTAAGAAAATTTTATCAAATAGCTCTTTAGCCCCTAGTAAGCTTCGAAGACATTTAGAAACTAAACATGCTGCGTATAAAGACAAAGACATAAGCTTTTTCAAACAGCATCTTGACTCACCTGAAAATAATAAACCCCCAGCACCCAAAATTGTCAATACAGATAATGAAAGTGCTACAGAGGCATCATACAATGTGAGTTACCATATAGCCCTGAGTGGAGAGGCTCATACTATTGGAGAATTGCTTATCAAACCTTGTGCAAAAGATGTAGTGATGCGAATGTTTGACGAACAATACAGTAAAAAAATAGATGCCGTACAACTGTCAAATAGTACTGTTGCACGTCGAATTAAAGATCTAGCTGCTGACATTGAAGAAGAACTTGTTTGTAGACTGAAAATTTGTGATGGGTTTTCACTGCAACTAGATGAATCAGCTGATGTTTCAGGACTTGCTGTGCTGCTTGTATTTATTCGTTACAGGTTTAATAAGTCTATTGAGGAAGACCTACTCTTATGTGAATCTTTGCAAAGTAATGCTACTGGTGAAGAAATATTCAATTGCATCAACAGTTTTATGCAGAAACATGAAATTGAATGGGAAAAATGTGTTGATGTTTGTAGTGATGCTTCTAGGGCAGTGGATGGGAAAATTGCTGAGGCTGTCACCTTGATAAAATATGTGGCTCCCGAAAGCACCACTAGTCACTGCTTGTTATATCGACATGCACTAGCAATAAAAGTAATGCCTACATCTCTAAAAAATGTGCTAGATCAAGCAGTCCAAATCATCAATTATATTAAAGCTCGACCACATCAATCCCGACTACTGAAAATTTTATGTGAAGAAATGGGTGCTCAGCACACGGCACTTCTTCTGAATACAGAGGTAAGGTGGCTTTCCCGAGGTAAAGTTCTTGTAAGACTTTTTGAGCTTCGGCGTGAACTACTGGTTTTCATGGATTCTGCTTTTCGGCTGTCTGATTGTTTAACAAATTCATCTTGGCTGCTAAGACTTGCATATCTTGCTGATATTTTTACTAAATTAAATGAGGTTAATCTGTCAATGCAAGGAAAAAATGTTACAGTATTTACAGTTTTTGATAAAATGTCATCGTTGTTAAGAAAATTGGAATTTTGGGCCTCATCTGTAGAAGAAGAAAACTTTGATTGTTTTCCTACACTCAGTGACTTTTTGACTGAAATTAATTCTACTGTTGATAAAGATACTTGCAGTGCCATTGTGCAACACCTAAGGGGTTTGCGTTCAACTCTTCTAAAATATTTTCCTGTGGCAAGTGACAATAATGCTTGGGTTAGAAATCCATTTACAGTAACTGTTAAACCAGCCTCATTACTAGCACGGGACTATGAGAGCCTGATTGATCTAACATCTGATTCTCAAGTGAAACAAAATTTCAGTGAACTTTCATTAAATGATTTTTGGAGTGGTCTAATTCAAGAATACCCAAGTATTGCAAGACGTGCAGTTCGTGTACTTCTTCCTTTTGCTACAATGCATCTGTGTGAGACGGGGTTTTCATATTATGCTGCAACCAAAACAAAATATAGGAAGAGACTTGATGCTGCACCTCATATGCGGATCCGACTTAGCAACATTACACCTAATATTAAACGAATATGTGATAAAAAGACACAAAAACACTGTTCTCATTAAAACTGGAGGGTTTTGCATGTCTCTTGATAACCAAATGTAAGATGAAAATAAAAGATGATTTACTTCATTTCTAGTATTTGGGGTTTTAAGAAAACTAAATCAAAAAAATTAAACATGTTATTGGTGGCATTTCTTTACATTTCAAAAAATTTCATGGTCATAATTGGGGAATGCTGATCCAGAAGATAAAATTCCAGTTCCTATGCATAACACTTTAGTATCTTATCACTACCCATTTTTCTGGCTGTGCTTGCCCTTCACCTTTCCACTCCCATGAAACTTACTATTCCCTAAACATACCCACTGTTTCATGCTGTGAGTTCTCAAAAAACTATTGTCATACCCACCTTGTTTTCTGACAACTCCTATTTGCTTTTCAATAATTTGACTTTATTTATTTTAGGTGCTTTCATTTTCTTTATCTCTGTATTTTGGCCCTATTTTATACCATTGTATTTTGTTTGTCTCAACTGTGAATTCTGTTGGTCTCATGATTCCCAGCGTTTCTGGAGAGGGTCTTTTTCAACTCTATGTCTCAGTTATCTAGCAGAAGGCTTTATTAAAGTAGATGCTCAATAAAAGAAAAAATGTTAGTGAAGATGAACCAACAAAAAATAGAAGTCTCCTATATCACTGTTAGGCCTGGTGCCATGTGTACATCACACTACCCTATGGGGGGTTTGTTTCGGTTATTCTAGTAGCTAGAATTCATTGTAGCCATTCCATAGAAGTCATCAAAGATACCATAGTTCTGTGATTCCAGCTGATCTACTGAGGGAGAGGGAAAGAAAAATTAAGAACTCCAGGGCTGGTGGAGTGGCGTAAGTGGTAGCATGCTTCATAGCAAGCACAAAACCCCAAGTTCAAACCCCAATACCTTCATTTTTTCAGTTTTTTGTTGTTTTTTTTTTTTTTTTTGCAGTACTAGGACTTTCACCTTGAGCCACTCTGCCAGCCCTTTTTGTGTTCAGTATTTTCAAGATAGGGTCTCACAAACTATTTGCCTGGGCTGGCTTCGAACTGCAATCCTCCTGATCTCTGCCTCCTAAGTAGCTAGGATTACAGGCTTGAGCCACTGGTGCCCGGCTTCTGTATAGTACTTGAAGGTGACTAAACTTGACAGTTTATTCTTGAAATACAACTATAAAAGATTCATAGCTGACTTTCCTATCTGGACTACTATTCCTGTGTCAAATCATAGGTCACCTCAATGCTAAATATTTTGTGCTGTTTCTGTAGTCAAGAGCTACTGTATGTAACCATTATTTATTTAATTTCACTTATTGAAACATCTCCCATTTTGCAGAGTAGAATTACCTCTCACATTGAGGCAAAATGTGGTAACAACTAGTTATTTGACCATAGCATTCTGAACTTTCTTGAGCTTCAGTTATCTCATTTGTAAAATCTCCTTAGAAGTGTTACTTTGAAGATTAAATGAGATCGTATATAAAAACCCCTAACAGTGAGTGGTCAGGAATAAGTGTACAACACAATTTCTGCCATATCTAGCCATGTGCCAGTTAAACTTATCTCTACACATCTGAGTTTTTGTTCCCTGAAGAGACTCAACTTTTTAGGCCATAGGACATCATGATCTGGAGAGACCAAAATTAAGCACCTCTAGTCCAGGTTATTTCCCCTTTGTCCAGGGTAAGCACCTATTCATCTGTCAGGCACCTTAGTAATTGCTTTGTATGTGATCAGTAACCTTTACAATAATCCTACGCAATTTGGACTTGCTTGAAGTCACAGTAAGTAGCAGAATTTATCTTTCCCCAAAATGGTGCTTTTTCCAGTCATTGCCTTTCAGATGTTTCTAAAAGAATCAAATAGTGACTTGTGAGTATAGCCAAAAATTCCCTACCAAAATCTGGACTTCTATTTGAAATCCTGTTACCTTCTAAGTTCACCCAAAATTAACCATCCACCTCATAGTGTGACTGCTTGTTTTCATGTAAAAATGTGGATTAAATTGCTGTCAGATAAAATTCTCAAAAAAGATGCATCATAATTTCTCATACATGTATTACTTTTTATGTTTTAATCCCAGTATTAAATATGCCATAGTTTGAAAAGTATGTGCAATGTCATGTCTGTTACCTCAAGACTGTTAACTAGACTCCTTATGTGATTGCTGAGCCTGACCCATTGATAAGATCATCCATCCAGGATGTCTCCCTCTTAATATATGGCTGCTTGTTTTCTTGTCTTTCCTGTAACCTCTGGATTCCTACATTTAAATCCAATCTCATTGACTGGGACCTGGCTATCTGCTACAAGACCCCCTTAATGCTGATCCTACGAACTTGATACCAACTGTGCACCTGTTCTGTGGATTGCATGGCTAGTGAGAATGGGCTTTTAGCCCCTAAAGACAGGTCTGACTTGAGTCCCAGTGGCTCATGCCTCTAATCCTAGCTACTCAGGAGGCGGAGACCAGGAGGATTGAAATTTGAAGCCAGCCCTGGGCAAATAGTTCATGAGACCCTGTTTTGAAAAAACTCATCACAAAAAGGGCTGGTGGAATGGCTTCACCTGCCTAGCAAGCATGAAGCCTGAGCCTGAATTCAAACCCCAGTGCTGGGGGTAAAAAAAGTGAGTCTGGTACCTGTCAGATGGCAGGCTAGATGATAGTCTAGTTTCAAACAGCAATTTCTAATTGCTCTTACTCTACTGCTATTAACCATGACCAACTCTCATAAGATTCCTGGTATTCAAAATTGGCTTTCTATTTCATAAGAACCAAAGTAAAATAAGCAGCGCTGCCAGCCTCTTTGCCTACTAACAAAGCACTTTGGTTATTCTTCTGCCAGACAGAATAGTATCCAGAGATGGATACTAGAGCCTCTGTTGAACTAAAGGGAAGCCTCTGACAAACCTTTCACACAAAAGAACTATTAAAAGAAAAAATGAGTGGCATTTCACTGAATAGTGGAAAAGCTACTTGGAGGTCTTAAGTGATATTTACATGGCACCCTCAAATAACAGCTTCCCTTCCTGCTTATGCCTGGAGCAATAAAGTTCTAATGTGTCCAACCCCAAAGGACTTTCTGGCTTTTAATTTCTATAAGTAACTGAAATTACCTGATTTCTTAATTGAGGGTTGTTTCATATTAATCTTGCCTTACCACCACATACCCATAAATACACCAATGGTAAGCTCTTTGTTGCTTAGACTTCTTTTGGAGTTATGTATAAAACTAAGGAAGTTACTAATCATAAAAAATTTCCTAGTTTAAAAGGTCAATTATGGTAAAATACAATTTGTACTATAGCATTGTGGAAGATTAGCTTTATAATCCATTTAAGCAAAAAAGGCAGGACCTAGTCTTGCATTTTAAGGGCTTGTAATCTCCCCAGTTGACTTAAAAATGAAATTTTACTCACCAAAAAGTAATTCACCTATAATTCATGAAAGACTCCATCAGCTGTGAAGATCTAGCTGGAACTTACTCCTGTTTATTTAGTTTCATTTTTTAAAAGTTGGTATAACTGCATTGTTAATTAGCACAATGGAAAGGATTCTGGGTATCAAGAGACTTGTGTTCTGCAACTAATTAACTGCCCTTAAGTTCAGCCCTCTCTCTAGGCCTTACGTTTTTTTTTTTTTTAATGAAAGACTCGAACTAGAATGAGTTCTAAAGTTCTTATTCGATGAGAATGTGGATTAGGTGCTCAGTTATTTGAAGTATGTATTTTTTTCCTAAAAAGCCAAGCCCTTTTGATGAGTCTTATGCCATAATACTTTCTATCAACCAACTGATAAAATTTATAAATTGCCCCATCATGGATACTTACTGTGTGGAAGGAATGAAGTGCTTTTTTAAGAAACACTTTGAAATTTACAAAACATTTAAGGGGAGACTAAATATATTTGGTTAGTCCTAGCTAGTCTTCATCCCATACATGCTCAGTTGGTAGAGCTTAAGACAGTAGTTTTCAAACTGGTTTGGACTCCAATCCATAAGAAGAAACAGATTTTACAATATGATTCATGTATGTACCCTAAAATTTCATGACAGTACTAATCCTGCATGTACTTAATGCCATCTCAAAGTTTTTATTCTAGTCACTTTTAAATGATGGTTGGGACCTAAATCAACTTCATAATCCATTTTTAGGTTATAACCCACTGTTTGATAAACACTGGTGAGTATAAAGGTATGCCCTTAACAGAAATCATTTAGGAACCTGGATCTAAGCCTATTAAGGTATAGTATTACTCTAGCAACAGGAATTGGTCCAGGAATTAGCATGTGACTCCAAAAAAACCAGTGAAAAGTAGGGGCAATATTTTTGGGGCTTTGAAAAATGTTTCCTCACTCTTAAAGAAGAGATAAATGTCCTCTGTGGCAGCTGGAATAGTGTAGCTCCCTTGCTACCGGCTCATGGATAAAACCAGCACATAACAGAAGCAAAAAAGAAGTTAAACCAAAGCCCTAACTGTACCACACTTGCACTAGCTTGGCATTAATTTTTGGGCTACCTAGGCTAATGAATGCCCTTTATTATTCAAGGCAGTTTAAATAGAGTTTTCTATTATAGGCAAAATTATCTTTAATATAAATAGTCTGGAGGGAAAGCAATGTAAAACTAGAATTTCTTAGTGAAAGCAATCCCAAATTAAGATGGTCTAATTCCTGGTTATTCAGCCATCTACTAGTGTTCTCATTTGAAACTCTGCCACTGATAATATATGTCTTAGTGGAACAACTTGATAATGGATTTTATTTATTAGCTTAGTCATAAATCAGCCATAAATTAAATTTATATCATTCATTTTTTTCTTTAATATGCTGAAGACCCTGATAAAGATAATGGAATTTTTTTAAAAAGCACAATGACATTCTTTGCAGAAGAAATTATCAGCCAGAAGTAGTTTGGTCCTCTACCTTAAATTAGTTTTCTGTCAAAGTTGTAAACAAGGAGCCATTAGTAGCATAATATCCACCTATACAGGACGCTTTCTTTTGAAAAACTTTTAAGCTTAGACAATAATAGGACCTTCAAAGACATGGAAATCTTGAACTGTAGGTAACTCCAGTTTGAAGAGTATATGTCACT